ACCTGAATCATGGAGAGGATCGTCTGTGCACGTGAGCAGTGTGTTAAGGCATGGAGTGCAAGTGAGGTGATCAAGGGGTGGGTCATGGGTGAGACTCCGAGATGACATGGGGTGTCCTCTGAGGGGATCTACACGCTGGTGGTGATGGGGATAGTGCAGGGGAGAATACCGCAGATGGAGAGAGTGAAGGGAGGCATGTTATGGATTTCCTAGCCACCTTCGTAGGAACCGAAGTGATCTCAGTATCAGAGTCATCATCCGATTGTCTCAGTGCTGAAGTTTGTGCTTGCTCCTCGGTCTGCAGTACAGAGGAGTGTGATGTAGACGAGCATGGAGAGTCCATGCCCTGTGCCATCTCCGGTGCCGTCTCTCGTGCCCTCTGCAGTGCCGTCTCCGGCGCCATCCCATGCGCCCTCTGCGGTGCCGTCTCCGGCGCTGTCCCATGCGCCCTCTGTGGGGCTGTCTCCGGCGCCCACTTTGTCAGTGCCGAATAGCATTCCAATGGTGCCCAAGTTTGTCTGTGCATGATCTTTGGTGCAGTTGATGGAGTCGGTGCTGATGTGGCATGTACCGACAGTGTCGACACAACCAGTCTTTTGGGACTGGCTGGTAGCACGGGCTTAGGAGGCCACGGGACGACTCCTGAAGTGCCCGGCTTATCTCCCTGGCTGAGTCTTGACATGGGAGCGGTGAGCAACGAGCAAGTGGGGGAGGCTCGTTTTTTCTTTGAAGTCATCACCCCAGGGGATGACGCTCTCCGCTTTTGTGCTGCGGCCGAGACCAAAGGGCTAGCCTCTGAAAGCTGTAAAGTCTTATTGAAGAGTATCATTTTAAAATGCATTTCCCTGTCCCTACGTGCTCTCGCCATCAGTTTTGAGCAGTAAGTACACTTCTGGGGAATATGCAACTCTCCAAGACAGTGAATACAGGTGGCATGGCCGACTGAAACAGGCATCGTGTCCCGACACAGGGAACATTTCTTAAAACCTGGCGAGCCAGGCATAATGGGTCCGGGATGTAAAAAGGACCCTGAACTAATATGATTAAGCTAACTAACACTAACTAAGAACTAAGAATTAAGTAAAAAAAAAATTTTTTTTGTTTAAACTAACCAGAACTGTATAACAGAAACAACTAACTATAAAACTCTAAACTGTAACTTTTTTCCAGATGACCAATCCTCCCACTGAGGAGAAGAAGGGAGCTCCGCCAGCAACCGAGGACGGTTGAGAGGAACTGGCAGGAGCCAGACCACGTGACAGTAGAAAGGTGCAAATGGCGCGAGACGCTAACCGAGCATGTGTGGACCAGCTGCCTACGGCTGTAAAATCCTCCGACCAGTGGTGCCGGGACGAGCCCGACACCTAGAGTGGAGCACTCAAGGGGACCACTCAAAGAAGAACCTGTGCTATCTGAGGTTGTTGAAGCCTATAAGCTGCCTATCAGTCCCAATACGATCGGATGGGTGGCAGGAGTCATTGTGGTTGTTGCCACTGCTACCCTTGTTGTAATGGCTTGGGCAACAAGGTTCTGGGAGTACCCCAGTGTACGGACCTGTGGTCGTCATCATCATCACTCAGTAGCAGAGGCATCAAGGCAGGTGTTGAAGAGAGACTAAACCTCGAGGTATTTGGGGTGCAATCTGTGCCAAATAGTGGCATCCCTGGTACCGATGCCACCATCAGGTCTGATGCTGAGGTAAACTGTGGCTGCTGTGGTGGAGGAAGCAGCATATGGCCTGGGAGTACAAGAGTTGTCAGTGCTGGTAATGAGGTCAGAGCTGGTGCCACGTTCCTCTTGTACGCATTTAAGCTTAGCCAATGGCGGCTGTTTAAGTGCTTGCATTGCAGTGTTAGATGCCAGCATTGAGCACACTTTTACCGGTGCCACTGTGAGCGCTTCCCTAGGTGGCGCTGACAGTGCTCTAACTGGTGCTGCTGACGGTGGATTGAGTAGTGCTGCTGGCAGGGCTGTTGGTGGCGCCACTGACAGCGCCTTCGGTGGTGCCGCTGATAACAGCTTCACCAGTGCTGGCGTTGAGCTCCTCTGCTTTGGCTCTATGCTCGGCTTAAGGGGGGAAGGTCAGACCTTCTCTTTGGGGTCCCGACTCTTGTGGGCACTGGTCCCATTCCTCATCTGTTTGTCCTGCACCTGAGCTGCTGTGAGGATGAACAGACGTCTTGGTTGTAAAGTGTTTCCTCAGCGGGGAGTCAGAACTCGCTGGGGAGCAGACCTCTTCCTGGGCATTTGAGCCCTGTCTTGGTCCCTGGCGCTTGAGCCTCCCCCGGAGACATGCGTGTGGGGGGGGGGTGCCCTTTTATCATGTTCTAGTGCAGATCTTGAGTCCTTCTTTAGCTGCATCATTTTAATTTGGAGTTCTCTGGCTTTCCTTGTCCTGCTGGTCAATTTCCAGCAGCAGCGTTTGCACTGCTGTGTATTGTGTTACTGACCAAGGCAGTGGACATACTGAGAATGTCCGTTTGAAATAGAAATGGAGACCTTAGAGGATTCACACTTTTTGAATGCTGGAGAGCCAGGCATGTCCTGTTAAAAGTCCTTTCAAAGAGATCTCTTCTATGGAGGACCACAGCTATGTGCGAGCAGTGGAAACCTGTGGCTTCTGTGAAGTGGAGGGAAATACACCGTCTCTTCTTTCTTTTCTTTTTTTAAGAAAAAACTTGAAACTAAACTAATCAATTTAAAACCAACAGCTAACACTAAACTATAGGCCGAGGTAAAAGCAGGGCAACTGCTCTGCTGTGGCCGAAGCAGGCGGCAGTCAGAGAAGAACTGAGGAGGCGGTTGGCTGTACGTTCCAAGAGTTATGCACGAGCGCTCCACCTGCACAGCCGACCGGAGGGGCACTGCTATCAGAACTCTGCCACCTATGGGCACAGCGGCGCTGACCCACCGAAGGTGGAGCACCCACAGGGACACTCCTCGAAGAAGAACAGCTAGCTTTTTTAAGTGTGAGCTGTTCTCTGCTAAGGGTTCCAGCAAGGCAGCTGTGGGCCAGATCTGGTGGCTTGGTGGGATCCAGCCTACTGGCAGCCTCTTGCTCACCCTGTTCTAGATCAAAGGTTCTCAAACAGGGGGTGGCTCCCTGGAGAGAGACACAAATATATATTTTGGGAGGGCAAGACAAGCTTTAGGGGGAAAAATGTATTCCCCCTTTTGACCACAGCAATGAGTAACTAGCAAAGTTGATTTCTCCAGAAATATCAGGTCTTCAGATGAGGCTGTGCATTTTGATGGATTTGTTAAACATGCATTATTCAAAGTCATTGCCATCTGTCTGTTGATCCATTTGCTATGCTATTGTGTGCAAATTGGTTTGTAAGTATTGAGAAGAACCACAATTTTACTTTTGCTCTGATTACAACAGATACTGGTCTCGGTTTGAATACGTTCTTTACTGTTTTTCATATGTAGTTATAGTTGCAAGTTGATTTTTAATGGTACACTTAATTATGTGCAGGGCTAGACAATTAGGGCAATCTACTCGCCCAGGGCGAGCAGATTTTAGCCCGGCCCGGCACCGCAGCGCAATCAGCACATGCGCAGCCTGCACATGCACAGCGTGCCAAACTGCGTGGCTGGTGAGCAGGGCTCGCTGCCGCTTGTCAAGCCCTGATTATGTGAAGGGTCATAAAAATGGTGACCATATTTTCTGAACCAAAATTAGGGACACATTAGCTATGCCCCCTCTAAGAACTCTTCCCATTGTCCTCCTACCAATAGGGATGGGTTTGGCCACTACAGGACTCCCCTCCGCCTATGCAACAAGCCTGCAATTGCATTAACCCAATTTGCATTGCATTAACTTGGGAGGAGAGGCTGGGGGAAGTGTTCCCTCTAAGAGCCCAAGTGGGCCCCACAATACCCCAGCCAGGCTCTGCGCAACTCCTGCCAGGGCTCCAAAGCAGCCTGGAGGAGGAGGAGGAGGAGGAGAAGGAGGAAGAGGTGGTGGTGCTGCTGCTGGACAAGGATCCTATGTAGTGGAGGTGGTCCCACAGGGAGAGGAAGGGGAGGGGGAGAGGCCGCACGGCCTGGGAAGCCAGCCCGGCTACCCTATGTGCCCTGCTGGGGGGAAGGCTGCTATGCTGTGCAAGGAGCAATGGCACGTCTCCATTTCTCACTTCTTCCCACAAACTTGAGTCCCCATCAAGTAGTGAAATGTCTGGTGGGGCTTTGATGGGGCACTGGGACAGAGTACAGAAATGTGGGACTGTCCTGGGAAAATCAGAACGTGGTCAGCATAGTCATTAACTACTATCCTTGCAAAAGGTGACCAAGTTTGACATCTGCTAGTGTAGATAATCCTTAATTGTGCCTCAGGACAGAGGACTTTTAGCGCTACATTTCTACAATTCTGGGTCATGGTCCGTGGAGGTTCCATAAGCCCCTTCACGATTTGTCCAGCTCCTGGATCCGTGGCACTAAACTTTGCAGGCAGAAGTCCTAGGGCTAGGACTGAAATCCGCTTTCCCTTTTTCTCCATAGAAATGCTGTTCGGGTCCACGGAGCAAACTGCCCTAGCACCAAACGCTCACCTTCGCCGCCGCCCTGCAGCCGCGCGCCCAGAGGCCTCGGAGAGGGGCTGCTAGCTGCGCGCTTGACCCGCAAGGCGCTGTGCGAGGAAGTGAGGCGGCGGGGGCTGCCGGAATCACACGGCCCGCAGGACGCGCGTTGTCCCAGCGCCCCCCGAAGCGCG